TCTGTAGCAGTTTACAGAACGTAGTGCTGTGTGATCTGCTCTGTACAATGAGCTTTAGTCTGTTCCTGCTATAAGCCTATTGCAATTACTGGAGCCTCACAAGGAATGAAGCCTCACACAGTTCAAGTAAAGGCTTTGATTACACACTCTCTGTTTTGTCTAATTCTTGGCCAAAAGATTCACTACATTGTTTAGGACACTTTTTTTAACTGAAAGGAGTAACCACATAATACAGAGGCACAGGTAACTTTAGAAATAATTTAAATAACCATTTCAGAACCAGCATTTCAGCACTTTAATTTGATTCCCAGAAATTGTTTCCTGAAGGTTTCCTCTGTCAGTCACTGTCAGGTCTGATCAATATATAAGAAGCTTTTCTTCAGCAAGTACAAAACATACTTCTGTAATTGAAATGTATTCTTTTTCACTGTGCCCACATTTTATAAATATTTTAGATTTCCAAATAATCTAGGATCATTCTGTTAGCAGAGATTATCATTATGTGTATTGTAATTGGATTTGTGATGCTACACTGTAATTTACTACAGAACAATTGGAAAAATATTAATAACTATACTGTACAAAGCAGATGGTTAGTTCATACTAACTATATCCTTCATTAAGAACTGCCTGAATTGTAACATTATGAAGGACATCTGTAGGAGTCCATAGCATTCAGCTGCTTTTAGGAGATACTATACATGGATGGTCTGAAATAAAGTAATTGGTTTCTGAAGTCACTTAACAGGCTTTTTATTTCTGCATGAGAATAAAATTGACACTGTTGCTCCCACACTGATCACACTGAACAGTCGCCAAGATTTCTTGCAGCCCATCATTTTTCTGTAGAAAGATTTTCATTCAATACTGTTCAACCTCAGTTTGTTAAAAATGTACTTATGTGCAAGTTCACTGCTTTAGTTGCCATTACAGTATTGCTTCAAGCTGTAGGTTTGAGGAGATTTAGAAACCTTTACTAGAAAATTTGTATAGCAATACAGAATCAGCTAGGTTGGAAAAGACCTTTAAGATCATCAAGTCCAACCTTTACCCCAGGGCTGTCACATTCACCACTACACCATGATGCATCTAACCATTGTCAAGTCTCAGATACAATAGGAATGGCCTAGAGAACTAGTGTGCCTACCAGTTTCTCTAGAACCTTACTGACATACCAGTAACAAAATAGGTCTGTATGATACTGATCCCATCTGTCATTTCAAGGAGAAATAGCAGGACTAAAAATAAGAACAGTGTTAATAAACTGACTTGTACTGGTTGAAAACAGTATCTGATTTCAACATATGACTGTGGTTTTCATCTGGTGATTGTGCTGCAATCCAGAAAGGAGAAAAATAATTTATTTATTACAATTGATTTAATTTCTAATTATTATTTTACTAAGTATTTGCAGATGTATTTATTTCTATTTTCTATTAATCTTTAGATGAATATTTCCTAGCGCAGTTTGTCCTGCAGGATGCAAAGGAGAACTAAATAAGAAGCAACAACCTTTTCCTCTCTCAAAGATATTCCATTGTAGCCCTTTGCAAATGAATAGGGGAAATCAAAAGCCATAGAAATTTATGTGGTTTTATAGAGAAAGTAGTATCTGGTTGGCTCTGAATTCTTTAGTAAAAAAAATATGGAGTTTTGACATTGTTTCTATCTAGAAAAAGGTTTGAAATTTCTGTTTTCTAATCAGTTGGAATGCTACAAAGCTGCTGGGACTTGGAATACTAACAGCATGGTACTTCATGCTATACTTTTCTAATTTTACTGCTGAGATTTATTTTCTCTTCATTAACCTGTTTAGCGGAGCAGTCAGTTCTAAGTATTGTTTCCATCTTCCTATGTAATCATTCAAATAGTCTTCAAAAAGGCATTGTTAACATATTTTTAAAATAGTTTTTCAATGAATAACACTTAATATGCAAGTTTAACTCACTGCAGCCTTTTTGCCTTTACAGTATGTACCATAGTGTACTTTTCCCATTAAAAAACACAATAGATCTTGTATTTAAGAGTTGACATGATATCATTCGGATTGTACCAGCAGGGGAAAGTGAGCAAACAAAGAATTGTAAACAGGCAGCTGTTCAGGCAGGTACAGCTTGATGTTTCTGTGGAAGAAAGGGCTTTCAGAGCAGCTTCACTTGTGCTTTATCCTGCAACCTTATGGCAAAACCAGTTGGTAGCCCCATGCCCTTGCTATGCTTCTTCTGCTTTTCTGATGGTGGTTTGTAATCTCCTTCCCCTTTACCTCTCCATGAGTTCTAAACTTGAGGATAGAAAAGTGTTTTGCCCTTTCTATTCCTTGACCTTTCTTCCCAGACCTTTTCTGCAAAGCTTGTAGTGCTAATATTTCATTTTTAGTGGATTAGCTCTGGGAACTAGAGGCATGTACCACCATGCCAATGTCCTGGTTTGTGCTCCTGCCCCCCCCCCCCCCCATTGTCTCCCGACTCTTTTCATTCTGCAGGACTTAAGCACACACAGAAATGTCTAATGGAGCAGCTACACTGGCAGGTGTCATTCTGGAGGTGTGAAGGATGAAATTAATTTGAAATAGATGAGAAAGGGAGATTATTTAAGCACTTGGTCACAGAATCATACAGTGGCTTGGGTTGGAAAGGACCTTCTAAGGTCATCTAGGCCCAGGTGTAGGGCCCTGCACTTGTCCCTGTTGAACCTCATGAGGTTCACATGGGCCCACTTCTCGAGACTAAGTCCCACTGGATAGCTTCCCATCCCTTGGGTGTGTCAACTGCGCTGCTCATCTTCATGTTATCTGCAAACTCTTGTCTCCAGAATGGTATATTTTACCCGTAACCAGAAGTTTCCTGTAGTGCAAGAATATAAATAGCACAGATTTTAAAATATATTATTCCCTGAGAAAAAAAAATAAAATGGGTTTTCTTGCCAAAGTTTTAATTGTAGCATTTGTAAGTTTAAAAATAATACTAAGGATTTTTTTTCTGTGAAAATGAAGTAAAACCTTTGAAAGGAAGTCGTGGATGAGGTACTTGGAATGCAGTGGATGTTAGAAAACAGTTGTTTCATGTTCCTCTGCAAGTTTTTGTTGTAATTCTGCAGGTTGCATGGGGAATCTGGGGGTGAGGCAGCCGCAAGAAGAGAACCACCTGGCTCACTGGCAGGTTTTAATTTCTGCATTGGCTGGGTATTGCCAGAGGACAGCTGGGGCAGGGTGTGCGTGATGTGATACACTTGCATTTTTGGTACAGTGATGAAACTGCAGTGCCTCTGCTCATGGCCACTGTCAGCACTGCAGGCTCAGGGGAGAGGCCATTCAGTGCCCACAGTGGTGGAGCCTGAGGCTTGTTGAGCAGCCCTGCTCCTCTGCAGCGGTTCAGCCCCAAGCTCCTCCAGCTGAGAGGCTGCTGCCCCCTTGTTTATAGTTTTACACCTGGGTGGTTAGCAAGGGCCTCACTGATCCCATCACCCCCACCAATCTCTTTGACTTTCTCCAAATCTAAACCCAATAAGCAGTTGATAGCCAGCTTGCTATTGCCTTCTGGTCTCCTGCCTGGGAGGTGTTGCAAGGATGTGAAGTCGGTAGCAGTTCCTCTGTGCTGCCCTCCTGTGTGTACCTACGCTAGTAGAGCAGGCAGATGTGGTTCTGACCTCGTTTTATCTGAGTGCTGCTTTCAACTAGGTTTTAGCTCATGACATTTGGCATGCCTCATTTTTCTGCTTGTAAGATGGAGATAATGGCTGTTTCCATTAGAGAATGTTTTTCTTAAAAATAACATTTTCAATGCGTTTTGACCAATGCAGCACAGAAGCTATCTCCTAGCAGTGTGTAATGAGTGGGTGTGCGTAGTGCAGCAAGGCTCTTTATGTAGTATCTTGGCATAACCACATACTGCTATGAATAGTCAGAAATTCTGCAACTGGCAGTGGTCATTTAAAAGCTGTGCCTGGTTTTGACAGGAGGCATGATAATGCTGCTGACTTCCCTTTTAGAAAGCAAACTGTTCTTATTTAACATTTTAGTCATGATGAGTTTTACATACTTTATGAATCTGGACTGTGTTTAACGTGGTGACATCTCAAAAAAAACATTAGCTCTGAAATGACTGTTTAATTTTCTAAGATGCTATCTGGTGTCTTGTAAATGAGGATTACTGTAAATCAATGATGCTTTATTATACTAGTTTTGTGGGAACAATTACAGTACCTTTGATTTGTGCTAGAATTGCAGTTATTAATAATTCTGTTAAATGACCAGTGTTAGCACTGTATTACCTGCTGATACTGATACCTTTGGGGAATGTTAAGTAAGCAGCAGCTATCCTGTACTTCAGGAAATATAAGTTTCTTACAGTTGCCTGTTTTTCAATTGCATTTTCCCCAATGGAAATTTGAAGCTTCTGTATTAAAAAAAAAAAAAAAAAAAATTAAAAATCTAAAACTTCTTCAAAGAAATTGGGTTCTGTATTGAGGGAGCAACATGTCTGGGCTTATCCAATATCTAAATTATATATCTAAAATATATTAAAAAAATAAAAAAAAAACAAATGTGTTACTAATATGGTTGTAGGGACAAACCGTGGTCAGTCCTTTAGGACAGTAGACCAATGGAGAAGACATTATCAAAAGTTACTTACCTGTTGAAATATTCATGTTTTACATACAGTATGGTAAAAGGATAGAAAATAGAGCTAATGCAAAGGCAATGGGTTTGTTCTTTTGGGGGGTTTTGTGTGTTTGTTTTGTTTTTTTTTGTTTGTTTTAATATCATTGCCTCTGGTGGCTTTTGTCTTTTCTTGTTTTTTTTAAAAATACTAACTGTATGCCCTGCTGCAGTATTCTTGTTTAGAGATTCCACATTCAGGGATCCTTGCTAGCTGTTATGAGCTATGACTGCTTTTTACTTCCTCTGAAAGAGATTTTTTTTTTTTAGTAAAATACCCTCTCCCATGAGTTCCTTGAGTTCTGACATGTGTGGGGTTTTTTTTTTTGTTTTTGTTTCCCAGCAGCTAAAGCAGCAGTAGGTTTGATTTGGCAAGTCATTTGGAAAAGGAGGAGTGGAGAAGTGCCCTGTAACCACTGAACAGTAAGTGCCTGTTTTACCTGCTATTTTAGCAACAGAAGTAAGTAGGATATGCAGATGGATAGGTATGAAACTTTTATAATACTGAGAAGCATATAAAAATGTACACACATGGAAGTCTAACTATTCTGAAACTGAAACACTTTTAAAAAAAAAGACAAGATCTGCTTGAATGTAATTACGGATCAGTCATGAGCAGTGTTGAGGTATTCAGAGTAAATTATTGAAAGTCAAAACTGAGAAGTACATTAAATGACATTCTGTTAAATTGATTCAGATACTAAGTAGTTTTAAATATTCAGTATCAAAAGTCTCTAAAATTAGAGGGCACAGTTTGGATGTGTGCACACAACTCTGCCCTTGGAAACTAGGAACTAATTGAATAAAGACATGCCTGTCAGCTGTATTTGCACGCTACTAAAAATGTCACTCTGTTTTATACTATAAATGACTGTCAGCTTTATTTGCAGTATGCTTGTCTGTTAATTCAAATGCTTTTTTGAATCATGTCAGATTAAGTTTTTTTTTTTTTTTCAAAAGGCAGGTGTTAACTGCTTTCTATTCCTCTCCAGGATAAAATATCTTTGCAGCAGAAAGCAATAATAATAATGAATTTTGCAGCATAGATTTGGATGTAAGAAGCTAAAATGGAACACTAATGTATGAAGCTCAGTCTTAGAAATGTTTAGACATATTTGCAAGTGTATTAAGCACTTTAGCTGTTGTTTGAATACAGTCACACAAGACAAAATATATAAGCTCTGCACCCAACATATGGTATCTTTAAAACCTTCATTACTTCAACAGGTAATTTTAAAAATTAAATTTTTGCTTTTTTTAGAATTGAAAATATGAAAGCAGCTAAGGCAGAAATTCATAACACTAGACAGTAGTTTTATTATCTTAGGAATTATGAACATGACTTTAATAGATTTCAGTATCTTTTGTTTATATACAAGTGCAGGGAAGGAGAATGCTGTAAGATCTCCCTCACTCTGGGACAATTTGCTATCTGCAGCTTTCTGTATAAACAGAATCTTGATCCTTTTAGATGAACAGGAGGCCTGGGAAGCAAAGGGACAGTGCTGCGTGTTAGTGGAGTAGGACTCACTGGAAGGAGCATGCAGTGCTCGTTTGTGTGAATGTAACTGGGATGCAGATTGGACCCAGTCAAACCAATCTGCTTGTTCGCTGTTAATAGATACACAGATCCCAGCTTTGTTCCTCTCATTCCTTTGTACCTCAATTCCTTTGTGGTACTATGTCTGGTGCTCATTCACTCTCTTGAGAAGCCAGTTGTAGCACAATAACCAAAGAAAGACTGACTCAGCTGAAAAGCAGAAGGGTTTTCTGTCCATTAAGTGGGCTATATTGAAGTGAGGTGGCAGGAAATGACAAGAAAACCAGAGGAAGTGGACTGTGTATTTTAGTAGTTCTGGAGTGTTGGAGGAAATCATCTGACTTGCCTAGCCGCAACCATCCTCTATCAATGAAATTGAGATTTAATACCTCTGTCTCTGAGGGACTGCACACCTCCTCCTGCTATCTTTGTGGGCTTTGGGTAGAAACTTCAGCTGCTGAATAATGAATACTGGTTTGCTAGAAAGGGAGGAAGGAAGGAAAGAAGAAACTGGGAAAGAGAACTGATATATTGCACAAACTATAAGGGTTGTAGGTTGATCATGGAAGATTAGTGGGGCTTTTAAATAAATATTACATATTTTAGGAATGACTGTAATAGAACAGGCCATCTCCTATACTTGGTAGATGCATGGGTTGAGAAGTTGTCTGAAAACCAGTTACCATGGGGATATAGTTGTATTACTGTATTAGAAATCAATGCCAAGGCTGTGTGGTGGACAGCAATCATTGAACTGTAAGAATACTGGAAGTAAAGAGAAAAGCTTTTAATACAATATTGAAAAGAATGATAAAGATCAAACTTCTAAACTTCACCAGATTTTTGGTGTCTGTAAAATAGCTGATGATCTTATTGTCAGAAATAGTTACTGATTTGAGGTTACTGGTCCAGCATGATCAGAAGAGTTGCTGCTTAATGATTTTTTTAGACATTTGGCACTAATTACTCTCTTGTTAAAGATATTAATGGAAGATGTGGGAGAAAGTACCTCTGTTGTACATCTTCAGGATGTCTTCTGTATTTCCAGGACAGAACCACAACCCTTTTGAGTGACCTGGTGTCAGGGATAAAGATAACTTAGATATTATCTGTTCATGGCCTTTCTGTGCTTATAAGAAGGTTCATGGTTTCTGAGAGTGTTAAATCAGTGATGAACACTTGTTCTGATGGTCTGTAATTGTTCAGAGTGGGAGTATATTGACATCACTAGTACATAACTGTCACTGTGTTTATTTAAGAAATACTGATAAGTGAAGATGAGCTGTTATTGTGTGCTGGTGTTATCCTGGTGCTTGATGTTATTCTGGCATGTACATTTTTGATGCACTGGATTTTAAGATTGTGTGTTGAAATAGATAGAAGTACGACTGTCTCATAAATTGTTTGTTTTCAGTTATTTATTTTGGTGCATATCAAAGGATTGATGCCTTGTGGGCTGTGTCTTACTATTAGTGTGTGTAGTCAGCTCCCCTGGAGTCCCATTTCCTTGCTCTCTGGTGAAAATGCAGTAACAAATGAATAAGAAAGAAGTGTGGTCTCTGATGCGTTACTTTCATTATGCTATTACTAAAGCATTTGTAATAGAGGAGATGGAGCTCCATCTGTCTATGACTTACTCTAAATTATCGGATCCGACACTGGTTATGAAAAAGTGATTTTTATCCTTGTTATCAGTGGAAGCTAGAGATCCTGGATTTTAGAAATGCAGAAATAGAGAGAATTACCTGTATTTAGAATGTTTTTGTTTGAAATAAGATAGTGTATGTATATAACTTAATTACATAAAAACAATATGATTTTGATTTGTTACAGTCCACCTAATAAAAATAGTGAAGGCTAAAGGATGAAAGGCATAAAAAACAAACAAGCAAACACAACCCCAAGCCAACAAGATTTTTCTCTTTAACTAGATATGTTTTGGGGGCAAAATTTACCTAGTGGCAGAAGTGGATTAGTTTTTGCTCATGTGTAAGGCAAAATACCTTAAGGGCATGTCAGAAACAAACAGGATGTATGCTAGAAGAAATGCTAGAAGAAAGTATGGCTAGTCAGTGTTATGGACCTAATATTTTTGAGATGGATCAGTGCTTTCTATCTGTTTTTATCTACCAGCTAAAGTAAATTACCTGCTTCTTTTGCTAAGATATAGAGATGGCATATTTGAATGGTCTACTATCCTAGGTATCTTAAGTTATAGAGTATATATAGTATGTATTTATCCTTTAATGATCGAGTTTTAAATAGGAGCATTACACAGCCAATGCTGTTGCTCATACATTAAAACTCTTATATCCTCATTTCAGGCCAGATTTCTCATACATTTGTTCAAATACATGCTGAGATAACTGGAGCTGAACTCTATCACTTGTAATGCATTGGTCTGTTCTTGACCTTTTTTAAAGAGGTAGATGCCTCTGACTGGCAAGGTCTCTGGTATACTGAGCTCTAAGAAAATCAGCTTATGCGTGTACTAGTGCACAGGTAGCATCTGAGGACAGTGCAGGCAGGCATTTATATTTTTACCCAGATGCCTGGTCATGGGGCTACAGAACTGATGGACAGGGGTAGAGCAGTTGATGTCATCTACCTGGACTTGTGTAAAGCGTTCGACACTGTCTCACATGACATCCTTGTCTCTAAATTGGAGCGACATCAATTTGATGGATGGACCACTTGGTGGATAAAGAACTGGCTGTATGGCCACAGACAAAGAGTTGTGGTCAACAGCTCAATGTCCGGCTGGAGACCAGTAACGAGTGGCGTCCCTCAGGGATCGGTGTTAGGACTGGTCTTGTTTAACATCTTTGTCGCTGACATCGACAGTGGGATTGAGTGCGCCCTCAGCAAGTTTGCCGGTGGCACCAAGCTGCGTGGTTCAGTTGATACACTGGAGGGAAGGAATGCCATCCAGAGGGACCTTGACATACTTGTGAGGTGGGCTGATGCCAACTTTATGAAGTTTAACCGTGCCAAGTGCAAGGTCCTACACCTGGGTCAGAGCAATCCCAGGCACAGCTACAGGTTGGGCAAAGAAGAGATTCAAAGCAGCCCTGTGGAGAAGGACTTGGGGGTGTTGGTTGATGAGAAACTGAACATGAGCTGGCAGTGTGTGCTCTTGCAGCCCAGAAAGCCAACCGTATCCTGGGCTGCATCAAAAGCAGTGTGACCAGCAGGTCGAAGGAGGTGATCCTGCCCCTCTACTCTGCTCTTGTGAGACCTCACCTGGAGTATTGTGTGCAGTTCTGGTGTCCTCAACATCAAAAGGACATGGAACTGTTGGAACAAGTCCAGAGGAGGGCCATAAGGATGATCAGGGGACTGGAGCACCTCCCGTATGAAGACAGGGTGAGAAAGTTGTGGCTGTTCAGCCTGGAGAAGAGAAGTCTGTGTGGAGACCTCATAGCAGCCTTCCAGTATCTGAAAGGGGCCTATAGGGATGCTGGGGATGGGCTCTTCGTTAGGGACTGTAGTGACAAGACAAGGGGTAACTGGTTCAGATTAAAACCAGGGGAAGTTTAGGTTGGATATAAGAAGGAAATTCCTGTTAGGGTGGTGAAGCACTGGAATGGGTTGCCCAGGGAGGTTGTGAATGCTCCATCCCTGGCAGTGTTCAAGGCCAGGTTGGACAGAGCCTTGAGTGATATGATTTAGCGTAAGGTGTCCCTGCCCACGGCAGGGGGGTTGGAACTGGATGATCTTAAGGTCCTTTCCAACCCTAACAATTCTATGATTCTATGATTCTATGTTGTGCAGCCCAGGCTGAGTCCTTTGCTGCCAGAGCTGGAAAGCTGCTGTTTACAAGAAATAACTATTCTAATATGTATTCCCTACTCATAGGAAGAGCTATAGATGTAAGCCTCAA